ATCAGCATGATGGTAGGAAATTGTGGAGATGTGATTGGATCTGTAAGGTAGAGGTTTTGTTATTAGGGAAACTTTGTCTTGAGAGAGAGACTAAGCTGATGTATATGATGAGATGAAGTAACAGTAGAAAACAAAGTGGTGTAGAAGTTTAAGAGAAGTGAGAGCTGGGCATAGTGGCTCACGCCTTTAATTCCAGCCCTTGGGAGGCAGAGGCAGGGGGATCTCTGAGTTTGAGGCCTATCGGTTTATAAAGGACTGCCAGGGCTACACAGAGAAACTCTGTGTTTCAAAACACAAAATAAACACCAGGGGAGTGTGGCTTATATTATTTTCTGATAGATGAGAGGAAAATGAATGTTATTCAGTAGCCCAAATTGAGGAGACTCATGGAGGCGAGCATCAACATGAGATGTTTGGGAAGAATGCCTGGTGAGAGTGGACAGTTTGTGTTGAAATATTAGAACCATAGTATTAATTCTGTGAGCTGCTTGTAGATTGGAGATAAATGTATCTGTCATTTGAGGGTTAATGAAGAACCACATTTCACTGTATAGCCTGGCTGGCCTGGCACTCACTATGTATGCCAGCTTGGCCTCAAATTCATAGAGCTCTACCTGACTGTATCCCAGTGTTAGAATTCATGGCCTATGCCACCATGCCCAGCAAAGTAGATTTTTTTTTCTCCAGTCTTGGGAATTAAACAAAGGGCCTTTCCAGTGCTAAGCCAGTGCTCTGTCACTGAGCTACAGTCCCAGTGTTTTCTAATTTTTAGTTACAAGACAATGTAATATCTTACATTTAATAGCAGGAGAAACTGGAAAGAGACCATTCTTGGGGCTAGAGAGATGGCTCAGTGGTTAAGAGCACTGGCTGTTCTTCCAGAGGACTCAAATTTGATTTCCAGCATCAGCTCATAACTGCCTGTAACTCTAGTTTCCAGCCATCCAATGCTTTCTTGTCTCTGTGGGCACTAGACATGTACATGATGTATAGACATACATACAGGCAAAACATTCCTACACATAACATAATTAAAAAAGAGATCAATCTTACAGACAGAATTTTCTGTGGAGAAGCAATAGATGAAGCCCAGCATTTTGATGTATGCAGTTTGAATTTAGGGCATGGCATGACTTTGAAATCATGGTTGGATTCCCACATGGAGTCCTCCTGTGGCTGGTGAAAATAGAAGGCTGGAATTAAATTAGAGCCTAATGGTTAAGTATTTTTAATTTTAGCATATTTTCATTGCCTTGTTTTTGAGACAGGATTTTTCTGTGTAGCCCTGGCTGTCCTAGAACTTCCTACAAAGACCAGGCTAGCCTCAGCTTCACATAGATCTTCCACCAGGTGCTGGAATTAAAGGTGTCCCCCACTATACCTGGGTCTTCACTGACTTTCAAGTTTTAAATATGGAAGGATGTCTTATATTCTTAAACACTTATAAACATCTGAACTTATTAAAATTTTTATTATATTTATTAGTGTGTGTGTGTGTGTGTGTGTGTGTGTGTGTGTGCGCACACACACACATGCACATGCTATGATGCTTGTATGGAGGGCAACTTAGAGGAGTTGGTTCTTTCTGCCTACCATGTGTTTCCTGGGATTTAAACTTAGGTGGTCAGGGTTGGTGGCAAGTACCTTCATCTACTCAGCCATCTTTCAAGCCCTGACTTTATCTTTGAGAAAACCAAATGTACCATGTTCTTATTTATAGACCTCAAGAGAAATAAAGATTTCAGGAGCTATTGGACCCTGTGTGTCTCTTAACTCTAAAGGACCCTGCGTGTCTGAAAACGTAAGTAATGTTTGTTCTAAAAAAAACACAGTTAATTTCTAGGCTAATACAAAGACAGGCCCATCATGGAAGCCTGTGATTTTCCTTCTCAACTGTTGTATGTGGTTGAGCTTCTGTTGTACACTTCCATGTGTGGTTGTTCTTTCCCTCACACTGTTTGTCACCATATTTAACAACAGAACAACCAAATCAGAGAGATTTAGGTTTCAATCCCTTCTTTTTCTCTGCCTGTTGAGAGACCGTAATGCATTCCAAAATTACAGTCATGTAGTTGTAGATAGGATGATAAGACAGCACAAAATAGACAATCAGCTTTCAAAAATGACAAAGCAAAAAATCAGTTTATATGCAGTTTGTGTGGTAAAGATTTGTGTCTGAATTTTCTTGGCATTTAGAATGCTTATAGTTCTGATGCAGACAGAACTATAGACCTATAGACTATAGACTATATACCTAGTCATATATGCATATATATAGGATCCCTTGACACAGATAGGAAAGTTGGGTGGAAAGGTAATGTTATTGGTTAATCACTTGTTAAATAGTGCATGCTTCAAAAAACCTTGTATCATTGTATCCTTTTAATTTACTTAGCAAACCATTTAATAATCTTAATGTTTTTGTCGTGTACAATGCTTAATTATTTTTAATTATGTGTTTGTGATATGGTGTTAAAATTTTTAAGCTATTAGTATTTATTGAATAAATCTGAAAGCTGTGTGTTTTTTCTTACTGGAGACTTATCCCTGCTTTTCTTCTTCCTATAAATTAATAAATAATATTCTTTGGCTTTCAAGCACCCTGTCTTCTTTTTTTATAGGAGATTGGAACAGGCGGCACTTGTCAGTGGAAGATATGTGGACTCAGTCCCACTACAACCTTAGCCATGTATTTTGAAGTTGTTAATCAGGTATGACTGCTTACATTTAAAAAAACATGTTTTTGGTATTTTGAGATAGAGTATGTAGCTCTAGCTCTTTGGAACTCACTATGTAGACCAGACCAGCCTCAAATTCTTAGTGCTCTGCCTGTCTCCCCTCCTCCTCTTCTCCCATTCCCTCCCAATTCTCCTCTACCCTACCCTCCCTCCTCCATATTTGCTTAGGAAGGGTCAGCTGCCTTAAGACCAAGTACCCCCCCCTGTATTCAGGCTGGGCAAGGCAATCCAGCATGAGGAACAGGTTCCCAAGAGGCAGACAAAGCACCAGGGACAGCCCCTGCCTCCATTGCCAGGAGTCCCACAAGCAGACCAAGCTACTCAACTGTTACATATATGCAGAAAGCCTAGGTCAGTCCCACGAAAGCTCCCTGGTTGTTGTTTGAGACTCTGTGAGTTCCCATGAGCCAGGCTAGCAGTTTCCAGACAGGCTGGGTAACAAGGAGGGCCTGAGTGGGGGGCATATGGATCTCCCTGGGAAGTGGAAACAGAGGAGATCTCCAGGGGGACCTGGGACAGGGTAGGTAGGCATGGGAACTTGAGGGGTTGGGTTGTGGGGTGGACAGAGGGAAGAGTGCCAAGAGACATGACTGGAAAGGGGGGCTTAATGGGGTCAGGAAGAAGCCTGATGCAAGAGAAACTAAGAGCTACAAGGATGGCCCCAGCTAAGACTCTTGACAGCAGTAGATGCATAGCCTGAACTGGCCATCTCCTGTGACTGGATTGGTGACAATCCCTGTTGTCATCGGAGAGCCTTCATCCAGTGACTGATGGAGGCAGATTCAGAAATCCATGGCCAAACATTGGGTCTTTTGGCTCATGTTTGGGAGTCCTGCTGAGGAGAGGGAGGAGGGATTTTAGGAGCCAGAGGGGTCAGGGACATCGCAGGAAAACCCACAGTATTTACTCTTAATTGCTGTCTTATCTCCAGCTCCTCCCTCTCCCAACATTAAAAAGAGGTTATTTTTTCATGATTTTTAATATTTTTAGTTGAATGTGTAGAGATCTCTACGTGAGAGACAGGTTGTGTTATTTTAGTGACAGTTTGACTTCCTGTTCCAATTTTGATGCTCTGTTTTCTTCCTCTTGCCTGATTTTGTGGAAGGACTTTTTGTAGTACAATGTTTAGTGACTGGTGAAAATAGGAATCCTTATTTCGCTCTAGACATTAGAGAGAAGCTCATTTTCTCTCACTAAGGTGTGATGTCATTTGTGGCCTTTTTTAATGCATGGCTTTTTGTTATGTTGGAGTAGAATTCTTCTATACATAATGTGTTTAGCATTCTTATTAAAGAGTGCTGAATTTTACCAAATGCCTTTTCTGCATCTATTGAGGTGATGTCATATGCCTTTTGTCTTACACTTTATTGCTATGGTACTATCATATCATTTATTCAGTTGCATATGTCGAACCACTCCATAGGAAGAATCTCACTCTGAGAAGATTAGTATTAGTTCTTTGTTGCTGCTGTAGTTAGCAATGTGAACCAGGGAGAGTGGAGGGGCTAAAAATGAGGCAGACTAAAGTCTCATACAGTAGCCAACTTTATTCAGAGCATCAGACAGTTTATACTCAGAGGGTTAAGAAGAGTCACCTGAGTAAAGTGTACAGTGACAAGGACAGGGTGCACGTGACAAAAACATGTTTTTCCATAGAGGCATATAAACAGATAATAGCCAGCTGTAATGAATAATCTAAATGAATTCACTCCTATCCCCTACACATGGAAAGGGCATCAAAACACATTCCAGGAACAACCCAAGTTATGGAGGAGCAGAGATTACAAGACTTCTGTCTTGTTTTCTCACAGGGTCTCAGAAGTCTCACCTAGCTTTGTTCATGGACTGTGTTGTGACAGTTCTTTAAATATCTATTGGGCTCTGTAGTGAAGACTTCTGTCTTAGTTAGACACCATGACTATGGCAAATCTTATAAAGGAAAACATTTAATTGTGGGTGGTTTACAGTTCAGAGGGTTAGTTGATTATTGTCTTGGTGGGAAGCATGGTGGCATGCAGGCAGACATGGTCCTGGAGAGGTAGCTGAGAGTTCTACATCTGGATTGGCAGATAGCAGGAGGAGAGAGTGACACTGGGCCTAGCTTGAGCAGCAGAAATCTCAAAGCCCATCTCCAGTGACATACTTCCTCCAACAAGGCCACATCTCCCAACAGTGCCACACCCCATGAGCCTATGGGGACCATCTTCATTCAAACCACCACAGCATCTGACACTGAGCTTTATTTTATATTTATTTTATGTGTGTGAATGTTTTGCTTGAATGTATGCATGAGTACCACATGTGTGCCTGGTGGCCTGAGAGTCCAGAAGAGAGCATTAGATGGCTGGAGTTGGAGTAATGGATGACTGTGAGCTGCCATGTGGGTTCTGGAAACTGAACCTGGTGCTCTGGAAGAACAGCCAGTGCTCTTAACATCTGAGCCAGCTCTTTAGCCCCTGGGCTTTCCCTTGCCCTAGAATGATTTTTTTTAGTGCTAGAAAATATGTAGTCTTTGATACTGTGACATGGCCATAGTAGATTTTGCTTTTTGTTGTTAGTAGATTTTAGATTTTGTTCTGACTTCTTTATTTTTATACAGCACAATGCTCCAATTCCTCAAGGAGGACGAGGTGCAGTCCAGTTTGTCACCCAGTATCAGCACTCAAGTGGGCAGAGACGTATCCGAGTGACCACAATTGCTAGGAAGTAAGTTTTTATTTTATTTTATTAGAGGTTTAATTATGTATTGAAAGTATTGTAGCTCATACTCTCAATCTGAGTATCTTATTTGGGTAACATTTATCACTAGAAAATAAACATGTATGATTCAGTTTGTGATTTATTTGTTTTAAACCTAGCTTATTTTATAGAATAGTTAGTTATAAGTTTAATAGTAATTTTTTAAAAGTATTTCTAGAACAGCCAGGGCTGCATAGAGAAACTCTGTCTTGAAAACATAACAAAACAAAAAGTACTCCTCAGGGTTGGGAAGGTAGCCCAGTTGGTAAAATGCTTTCCTTGCAAGCATATGGACCTGCGATCGATCCCCAGAACCCATGGGAAAAAAGCTGGATGTGGTGGAACCCACGTGTAATCCCAGCTCTGGGAGATGGAGATGGGTGAATTGCTGGGACTCACTCGCCTGCTAGCCTAGCCAGTTTGGTGAACTCCAGGCCAATGAGAAATCCTGTCTCAAAGAACAAGGTGCCTGGCTTCTGAGGATGCCACCTGGGACTCTTCCCTGCCTTCCATATCCATGTGCACAAATGTGCAACCACACATGCACACGAGTGCTCCTGAGTCACACACTTAAATTGTGTTTATTATGACCAGGTATGGTGGCACACACTTGTAATCCCAGCACTTGGAAGGTAGAGGCAGGAGGATCAGGAGATGTAGGTCATTCTCAGGGAGTTTGAGAGCATCCTGGCAAACATGAAACTGCCTCAAACACACAGACACACAGACACACAGACACACAGACACAGACACACACACACACACCCCAGGCTGGAGGAATGACTCAGTAGATAAGAGCAC